GTTTCCTTAATCTCCCAGTCTCTTACCCAATGGATGCCACGGTTCCTTCTTCATAATAAAAAAACACTCCATGGCCTGTAATCCATAAGAGAACTATATCGAGTGCGTGACTGCCGCTTGTCGGCGAAGTTAGCGCCAACTTTTGAAGATAGTGGTCAGCACAATGGATCCCCACAGCCGTTAATATCGGTTTTATAGACTTTGAAATAGCTCAAATATCCTCATGAGGCTGAGTGGACCCCGTTCCAGGCCCAATACTTCTCAGAAAATCTGGTAGTGCCGGGAATCGAACCCGGAACCTTTGGATCTGTAGCCAGGAACTCTAACAACTAGACCACAGATGCGTCCTCCTTCACAAAGGACCAACAATGATGTTGATAATGATAACATTAGCAGGCCTGCAATTTCACGTATAGCTATTACCACATAAGTGACTTCTATACCAAACCAGCATGATCCTCTAAAGCACACAGAATAACTGCTCCGCTTTATTATACATATTTATCATTCTCATTGACAGCCTTGAGTGGTAAACTAAATCATGACCTTTCTTCCCAGCAGCTCAGAGGGTCATCTGATTTCATGGTGGCCTTCTGTTTCGGAAGGTAAACAGTCTCCATTTCACTAACCAAAGTCTGCAGCCCACTTTATCCTGCCTAGCAACTAGCAATATCTGGATTTTAAATTATACCAGTATTTAATTTCAGAGTTACATGTACATTTCCAGCAGACTAATGGTACAGATAAAGAGACAACTTGTGACTATTTGTTACTATCCATATAGTCATATGTTGTTGTTTTATTACCTTTAGCCTAGAAATAATGTGTTCTTTCTATAATGCAATGAGAAAAAAGTTGTCACTGTGCTTAACTAATTAAGCACTATGCCGTGAAGGCATATGGGGGAGTGCATGTATAGATCCACATTTTCTTGACCTCAGCACTAGCTGTAACACAAAATAGTATTACTCAAAGATAATCTGCATAACCAACCTTGGCCTTCCTTCCCTATCTACTAGCTTTGGGGTGAATTTAAAATCCCACACAATTCCAGTCCATCATCATCAGTAATCTGTCAGACGACAGGTCCACAGTCTCAAAACAGTTCCTCCACTTAATGCAATCTAGAGCTTTCTCCTTCAAATGAGAATATCCTTTTCTGTCCCCAAGGTGATCCAGCATCTTCTTACATCTTCTTCGTCTTCTGGTCATTTCTATCCACCTCTCTATCTTTCCTTCCAGCCCACTGACCATTTAACAGTGCTGTCTCAAATGCAGAGGTTACATAGCATCAAATCAAATTATTTAGGATAACTATTTAGTGCATTGGAAAAGGCTGGCAAAGTAGCATTTAAGGCCTATTTTGAAGAAAACCATTAGAAACATTACTCTGAATAGTTAGTGACATGGCTGAGATTCATACTGGGTACCTCCTGAATAAATTCAGCCATGTAAACTAACCTGGTTAGTGATTAGTTCTAAAATGAAATCTCCTACACAATCTTCATGTCCTCTATCTACATACTGGATACTTAAACAGACTTCCATTTCATTAATTTCCAGATTCCTGTATACTAGTTTCAAACATTCAGCCAACTTCATGGCATAAGGTTTTCCTTGAACACTTGACAGCTACTCTGCTAATGACAAAGTTCCACTGTTAAAAAACCTAAATTTTAATTTCTGATATTATATGTTATTTACATCTAGCTAGTTCACATGCTCATGTTGCTCATGGCATTAAATTACCAAGATAAGATCTACTCTGATAAGATGTTCATATATTTTCACAAAAATTAGTGCCAGATGAAAGACACGAAAGCTTTTTAAAACAAATCCTAAAAATACTGATTACAGTTTTTAAAAGAACTATCTTCAGAGATGTAACGCTGTGTAGTCTGGTATAATTTCACCCCTGTTTTGGAGCAACATACTTCCTCAACATTCAGGGTCAAAGAGTAAGCCAAGCAAAGCTCACAGTGGTGACTATTAAAAAACATTATCTTCTAGATATTGTTGTGTATTCACGTAGATCACTGATGTTCTGGAGGATCTTCTACTTGATTATACAGCATCACATCCCAGTAGATAGTACTCTTTGTCACTACTGAGAATCTCAAACCTAACAACAGAATTCTATCTTGAGATAAGTCACTGAGTATCTTTTTTGTATTTCTGATCTTGTGAACATATACAGTACGAGTATTACCATTCCCAGTTCTTTTGAGCAGTTATAACTTACCACTGAGTTTGATTTGTTTCATCCTGGACAATCACATTAACAATATTATGAAAGGTTAATTAATTCTGTCCGGTCTGACTGCATTCAAACTGGACGGAATTAATTAAACTTTTATAATTACCACTGAGCATCAACTATCATGTTTTCAATTTGTCACTTGTACTTTTGGACAAAAGAAACAATAACTGAAGGGTGGTCACATCCACAAATGAATCTGTAAATTTATCTGTTACTAGTCATCTCAGCGGCCTCCGTAGTCTAGAGGTAACGTTCCCACCTCATGACTCATGGTACACGGGTTCAAATACCCGGTGGAGGTCGTCAAATTTTTAAGGGCGGAAAAATTCAGGGAACAAGTCCTCCGGGAGGGACTTTAAGCTGTGTGTCCCGTGTCGTAACTTTATGGCACGTAAAAGAACCTCATATCCCCAAAGGGGATCACTGAGCCAAATTCCAGGACGTTTCCCGCCCAACAATAGCCTCTGAGGCCTCTGATAGATGGGGGAAGCATTATAGACACCACTAAGCAAGTGGCCAAACTCGCTTGCTCGGCGGGACGCACCATTTATCAGTAGGGTAAAGAGACTGGTAGAATATCATAGAGGGAAGCACAATAGATCAAACTGGTCACGGTGCATGGGGAAACCCACCCTCTTTAAATAACTAACTAACTAACTACTAGTCATCTCACTGAAGGCATGGATGTCTGCGTTTATGTGTAGGTAGCAGCCTTTTGCAACAGGCTGAGCCCCCGTCCAAGGAGTCCGACTGTCTTAGGATTAAGAAACTGTGAAACAAAGCGTTTCACAGATGCCCTATGCTCTAAAGTGGGAGCAACAGGAAAGAGAGAGAGAATCATTAGTCATTTAGCTTGTTTAGACCTCAAATGTTTCAACACATGTAACTCAACAATCTATTCTCAAAGAGAACAAATAATTATACGAAGGGGGACCCAAAAATAACCGGAACCGAACTGTTGCGCGCGCATGCTTTGTAGTTAAGAGTTGTCCTGCTAGGTGGTGTTAGCTGGGGGTCTCCCGCGACTGTTAGTGAGCTGGCATCAGTCTGAGTTAAGTGGTTTGTCTGTGGTGCTCTGTTGTGTGCGTTCCTGTTTCAACCCTTTGGCGATTAGTGAGATGGCCGACCAGAAGGAACAAAGAGTGTGCGTGAAATTTTGCTTTCTGTTAGGGAAAACTGCA